GGGCTCCCCCCCCCCCCCCCCGCCCTCCCTTCCCAGGGGCGGGGGCCGGGTCCGGGCCCCCGGATCCCGGACGGCTGGGGGAGGGAGCGGGAGCGGGGCCGGGGCCGGGGAAGGGGCCGCGGGTGCCGCAGCGACTCCGGCTCCCGCGGCCGCTCCGGCTCCGGGTTTTGCCGCGCTCCCGGCCTGGGAAGTTTCCTCGGAGTTCGGAGCTGCGAGAACTTCGCGCCCCCTCCCCGCCCTCCGACCCCCGCCCCCGCGGGGCTGAGAGTTGGGGGTGGGGGTGGGGTGGGGCTTTTGTACGAGGGGTCCCCGCCCTGGGGGCACTTGAGCTCCAGTCGTGACCTTCCCAGGACTCCGGATGAGCGTGGGTGGAGAGGGAGCCCCAGATTCTGGGTCCCCCCCCCAATTTTGAGTCCCTGGTCCCCGCACCTCGAGCTCCCAGTCCCGGACTTCTGGGTCTCTATATCCCAAGCCCTGATCGCTCCGGGGCCCCTGTGGCTTGGGCCTCTGAGGTTCCCCGCCCCCAATTCTGAGTCCTGTCCCCCGGGGCTGGAACGCAGTCCGGGCTCCAACGCCCCTGCGCTTGCCCTGCTCTGGTCCTGGCTTCCAGGGTCCCCCCGCCAGCACCAGACTTGGGGGGTCCTTGCACTCCGCTCTCCTCCCTTCCTCCCCCCATTTCGTTCCACCCTCGGGTCCCGGCCCCTCACCTGCAAGCCCCGGGTCCCGCTAGCAGCAGCAATAGCAGCGGCGCCCGCACGGACGGCGGCGGCATCAGGGCCGCGTCGGCGGACCCGGGTCCCCCGGCCCCATGGCGGCCCGCCGCGACCCTCCCTCCTCCCTCCGGCCCTCCTTTCCTCGGCTCCCGGGCGCGTTCCCGGGCCAGCCTCAAGCGCCGCCAACTTCGCCGAAGTGAAGGCTGTCGGGGCGCCCCGCCCCCAGGCCGGGCGGTTCGCCCCGCCCCGGGCCAGCCCCGCGCTCCCCGCCCCTCGCCCGGCCTCCCAGGGTCCCTGCCCACCCTCCACCCATCACACAGCGTGGGACCCGCAGACCCTCAGAAACTCAGGCCGGCCACGCGGGGAGATGCGGGGCCAACCCACCCGCAGGGGCAGACACCCAGCCTGGTGATCATCTCCGCTCCCCACACACCCAGAGCCAGATACGCAGGGCACAGACCCCCCAAACACCCCGACACTGAGACCAGGCGGGTCCCAGAGGCTCAGGAGCACACCGCCACCAGGCACAAATGCAGACACATGCACCGAACCTCACGGGGACTTTAAACCTCCAACACTGGAAAACCTGAAACTCAGGCCCAGCCAAGCCTGGAGCCTGGGGCCCTTGGCAGCCTCAGACCTGAGACACAAGCTCAGAGGAGGCTCATGAATAACGGCAAAGATGCACATACACACTCCTAACAGCCTTCCGCTTCACAGCCCGGTGTGAGCCCCAGCGGTGACTCCCGTCCCACCCCGTACCCCACACAGCTCTGCCACTCAATTCGATCAACTGACTTTTCCAAAATGTCTCCATGGTGAGAAAGGGGACCCCTGAAAGGCCACCCACCCAGCCCTGGAGGAGCTGTCCTTCTGCGGAAGAGCCAGACACAGATGCACCCAGCACTGTGGGCTCGGGGCTGGGACAGAGGAAGGGGCAGGGTCCGGGGAGGCCTCAAAGAAGGGCTGGTGAGGGTTCTGCCCGTAGTGTGGGTTCCTTATTTCTTCATTCATTAATTCAGCAGGTAGGTCTAAAGCTCCAGCTCTCTGTCTGGCTGTGTTCCGGAGGCCGGGTGCACCTTTTACCTCCAGAGGACTTCCCAGAGAAGGGTCCGGTGGGGCTCAGCCTGCATGAACTGAAGGAATGACGTCCCAGCCGAGGGACAGTCCTACATCCGGAGAAGGGGGCAGAGTCCTGAGGGAGAATGGGCAGGCCCGGGTGGGGCTGGCCATGAGGAGGAGACAGAGGTCAGGCTGGCCCCCTGCTATCTGGCTTGGTGATGAGGCTGCAGGGAGGAGGAATGGGTTGAGGGTGAGGTGTCAATCCGAGGAGCTTGAGGACCACGCAAAAGGCAGCTGAACGTCGGGGCTGAGCATACAGGAGTCCTGACATGGGCACCCCGAGATCTGTGGGCAATTTTAAGACTTTTTCTTTTCTTTTTTAAAAATTAATTTGCGAGAGAGAAAGAAAGGAAGGGAGAAGGAGAGAGAGAGAGAGAGAGAGAGAGAGAGAGAGAGAGAGAGAGAGAAACATTCATCAGCCACCTCCTGCATATCCCCTACTGGGGATCAAGCCCACAACCTGGGCATGTGCCCAGAATCAAACCGGTGACCACTTGGTGCGTGGGACCATATTCAACCAATTGAGCCAGCCTAAAACTTTTTCTTTTACAATATTTTTAAATGCACCATAATACAATGTCCATATGCCCTTGGTCCATATTTACCCACACTTTGCCACATTTGCCTTATAATTACACATATACTCCCTAAGAGCAAGGGCACTCTCTTATCTAAACACAGCACAGTTTCCCCCTCAGCCCATGTCCAAAGTTTTCTGTTCCCCCAACAATATCTCTGTAGCATGTGTCTTTGCTGGTCCAGGATCTAATCTCTGATGATGTGCTGCATTTAATTGTTATGTTTCTTTCCTTTTTTTTCTTTTTACTGATTTTAGAGAGGAAGGGAGAGGAAGAGAGAGAGAAACATCAACGATAAGAGAGAATCGCTGATCAGCTGCCCCCTCCCTGCATGCCTCCTACTGGGGATCCAGCCCGCAACCCAGGCATATGCCCTGACCGGGAATCCAACAGTGACCTCCTGGTTCATAGGTCAACACTCAACCAGAGCCACACTAGCCGGGTTGTTTCTTGCTGTCCTTTCATCTGAATCGGTTCCTCAGCCTTTCGGTGTCTTTCACAACGCTGACATTTCTGGGGAGTCGAGGTCAGTTGTTTCACAGATTCGCTAGGCCTTCTGGTTCCCCCGGACCAGGGTCAGGTTGTGTGTCTGGCAGCATGGCTGGTCCTCCCAGTGCATCGGTGCATCGTCTCAGGAGGCACCTGACGCGAGTTCCCGGCAGTGCTGGTGTTAAACTTTGACCACTTGAGTGAAGGTGGCAATTTTCCTTATTGTAAAAGTACCATTTTCTTCCTATCCCCCTCCCCCGTAATAAATAAATGTCAATATCGGATGGAGAGATACTTTGAGACTGTGTGAATATCCTGGTGCCCATCAAACTTTCATTCACTGTTTTTGGCAGTTGTTAATAATTTCCTCTGGCGATTTTTTTTTTAATTGAAGCAAAATTTGCATAACATAAAATTAACCACTTATCTTTTTATTATTTTTTTTCAAATTATATCTTTATTAATTTCAGAGAGAGAGAGAGAAAGAGAGAAACATTAATGATGAGAGAATCATTGATTGGCTGCCTCCTGCACACCCCCCACCGGGGATGGTGCCCACAACCTGGGCATGTGCCCTGACTGGGAATTGAACCGGGACCTCCTGGTGAACCAGGCCAGTCAACACCAGTTTCCTTTTTAAAGTGTGTAGTTCAGTGGCATTTAGTGCAACCATCACCTCTATCTTGTTCCAAAACATTTCCATCACCCCTAAAGGAGACCCCATATCTTTTGGCAGTTGCTCCCCATTCCGCCTCCCCCAGTCCCTGGCAACCACGCATCTGCTCTCTGTCCCTATGACGGTGCCTGTTCTGGACATTTCATATAATGGAATCATAAACCATGTGGCCTTTGTGTCTGGCTGCTTTCACTCAGCATCATGTTTTCAAGGTTCATTCACACTGTAGTGTGTGTCAGTGCTTCAGTCCCTCTTATGGCTGAGTAATATTACACTAAATGGCTACACCACAGATTGCTTATTCATTCATCCACTAATACTTTGGATGGTTTTTAAACACAGGAAGAGGAAGATGTGAAGAAGGCAGAGAAGTACCATTAGACAGAAAGGAGAAGCATGAAAAGCCAAGGGTGAACGTTGAATGACTAACCCGAGCCTGGCATCAGAGATGACCCACAACCCCATTATCTGAGGGGGGTATATGCCCGTCTTATGGTGACTTGCTGGAGGCTTCTAGAGGAAGCGCTGAGATTGGAACCCAGGTCTGAGTGGCTCCAGGCCACATGGAAAGTGAGGGATTGGGAACTGGGAAGAGAAAAAGACTAAAGTTCCACAAGAAGGGGCACAGTATGACTCACAAGGAGTGTGCTGAGTCCATAGGCCCATGGGCCAGGCCCAGCTTGAGTCCTTCCCATGCCTATCACCCCAGGAGAAAACCTAAGTCCCCCACCCTGTGGATGGGGGCCTGGCCTTCTCTGGCCCGTCCTGCCCACCCCCCCTTATCATTAGACTGAGCCAAACTTCACCCTCACCCAGCAGGACTTGTACTCTCCTGGCCTTTGCCCTCTGCCTGGGATCCCCGTTGGACAAGGGACCCTTTTGCTTCCTTCCTAAGCAGGAACTCACAGGAAATGTGTTCTCTTTGAAAAACGCATTTTCTTCTGGTTATATAAGGCCTGCTCTACTATTTCCCACACAAGCCACCCCTTGGCCTATTCTGGTCCCTCTTTCTAGCGTGAATCCCCTCCCCTCCTTCATGTACCTGGTGAACTCCCGTTCATTCTTCAAGGTTCCAGCTCTAGGACTCCCTCCTCCCCACCCCTCCACCCCCTGCCCTCAGACCCAGCTCCTCCGCCACCCCGGGCTTTACCTGTGCCCTCCTGCCCTCCAGGGGATGGTGGCATCTGTGTCCTGCTCCGTCCCCTCCCTAGACTGGGAGCTCCCCAGGGGCCAGGCATCATCCAGCATGGGGTGGGCACAGAAGGGGTGACATGGGAGGTTTTGTTGACTTAGGAAGGGGCTGAAGGAGTTGAGATGCCCAGCCCAGAAGGGCCACCACAGGGGCCTAGACCACTCTCTTCAGTACCATTTTTGGAGCCTGGGGTCCAGAAAAGAACCTGGGGCAAAGGTAGGGGCTTTAAGAGGGGGGCTAACTCCTCCCCTGACCCAGCTGAGAAAGGGTTTTCTGCTGGAATGAATACTCTATGAGATGCTGAGCTCCCCAGCTCAGGGATCAAGCCATGGACTGGACACACATTTTGCTAGGCAGGAAGTCCAGAGTCTACTACTCCACTGATACAGCAGCCCCTGGTCTGTGGCAGACAGAGAGGAGAGGGAGCAGTAATGATGAAAACATAGGCTAAGGATGGCATGAGGAGAGTGGGGACAAAAGGAAGACACATTGACAGAGCGCCTACTATGTGCCAATACCTTTCTGAAGCCCCCATGTCTTCAAAGGAGCCCACTCAGCAAGGAGAAAGTGGGGTCCTGGCTTCGGGGTCCTTCTGCTGTCCTCCAGCCCAAGGTGTCCTGCATGAAAAGGGGGACAGGACGGTTGAAGAGACCATTCCCACGGCCTCGCAGGGGGCAGCCACACAGTTCCCAAATGGTGGGGGTAGGGGATGCTTGACCCCTCCCCCTGGCCCTGCTGGCTGCCTTGGCTGGGGACTGCATTTCTCCTCCATGAGTCAGTCCCCAGGGATTGGGGACCTGGGGCCAGACCAACACACAGCTGCTGGGCTCAGGCCTGCTGACCAGGAACCTGAGAAGATGCCCTGGGCTTCTCTGCTGGGACCACGGTCCCGCCCTCTGCATGGCAGCTAAGCTGGGGCCAGGCCTTGCTGCCCAGGCAGTGAGCCGTGCCAGACCCAGCAGTAGTGAGGGTGGGTCCTTGGCAAGAGTGGGATGGCTGGACCCCAGGGGCTGTGGGCTGCAGACCCAGCCAGGTCTCCTGGCCAC